CATCTAACAAGGCGATATTTGTGAAAATTCTAAATAATTTTCTAACAATAGAGAGGATTGAGTCATCACTAATACTTTGCTGATTTTGGGAAACAAAACAGCAATGTGCATAGTACGTCTCTCGACGCCTCAGCAGATCGCTGTGGCCCACAAGTTGAACGAAAATAGAAAGAACTATAAGGCAGAAGAAAAAAATAAGAAAGAGTAACAATATATCCTCCTCAATTTCAAAGTAAATTAAGGCCAAGAATATGAGTATGATGAATGTGCAATTCAGAAGGTGAAAATTCTTGATTGTACTCCGGACTTGAAACGATGAAGCAATGTAGCATCAGGCTAACCCTGATATCCAGCTTTAGGCTCACAAATCAACAATCTTCATCGAGGATAAACGATCTCCCGGAGATCACTCAATTGATCTCAGACTTAAGACCCTTAAGGTCCAGATTGTATAATTTAAGATATGAAGACCAAGATGTTGTGACCTCTGCATCTGTCAAGCGTAGGCTTCAGATGATCGTGCTCCTCAATATTCCCATCTTTAGCCTGTAACTGTGATGGTACCTGAAATTGAGTATTATTGTTTGGCAATTTTACTACCGTAGTTTAATTGAATATATTAAGACCAAGATGTTGTGGTCTCTGGTATGGTCGCAGTCTCCTTTCGATTTATAGAAGTGGGTTGACCTCGTTGTCGCAACTTGGTCTTGTGTTCAGAGTGACCCACTCCTATATTGTATGCATACTTAATCCTTCGACTATCTAGGCCTTCATAACCTTTTTAGCTAATTGTCCTCACATTAACTTCGTGTCCTCTTTCCTTGAAACCTTAAAGATTCCATCCTATAACCTGATAAACCTCAGATGCAACCTCAAACAATCAATACTTCAATCATGAGCCAGCCAGAAACAACACCAGGCAAGTCTCAAAATTGCAAAAAATGTCCTCCCTATCTTAAATCAACTTAGTTAAGTTCCGATCATGGTTTAAACTATACAACTTCGCATTGTGTTATACTTATATGCTTTTAAATAGCGCAAAAAAGTGTTTCACTGAATCTACCTTTTTTTCAGTTTGATGTGTAATCCATCATTGGGCAAGATGGCTTAGCCAAACTCTACTATTATCTATGGTAATCCCCAGTCCTATGGATTATTATTATTATGCTTTCATAGACATGTGAAGACCAAATAAACGAATTCCACTAGAATTGTTAGTTGTGCTGAGTATAGCTAAACCTGCGAGCAGCTAGGATCTATAGAGAAGGGGAATACGAAGCTAACAATAAATTAGAAAGGATAAGAAATACTAAGCATTACAAATGGACACAGTGGACGCGCTTCCGTCGTTTAGCTTCAGAAATCAGGAATGTCAGGATAGATATCTACGGATTCGAGATAACAGGTAAACAAAATTGGGAATACAAATATAATGTTCAAAATAGCTCAAGAAGTGAATGGCGTAAAGTTCGCCTGAGTATGAAATCTAGACGTACTTGACCTCCTTCTGATTCAACTTTAGGGTAGCGAATGCGAAAGCACGGCCAAGTGGATGCTCCATACCGTACTGATTGAGCAAGTTAACAACAACGATCCGGCCATAGTGATTGTAGATGTGTTGGTCAAAATGTTGCTGCAGAATGGTGAATTGCACAGGATCCACCATGCCAATATCGCTATTGTCTGACAAAGAACCGAGGCTATTGTGTTCTAAGAGAGCCGCTGACTTTGAAAATAACGAATCAGGCTTCATAGAAGCGGAATCTTTGGCAGCCTCAGAAAAAGCGATTGCGAAAGCATTGCTTAGTTTTATCGGTGGCTTGTATCGGAGGTCTGGGCGCTGACTCCAGAAAAGAGGGATTGAGCCACGGATCTGTCGTTTCGTTAGTGAGCAAGAAGAATACCAAGATTAACACTGCAAGTGAGTTCAGTGACCAATATATTAGTACCAGCCACTAAAAGCTAGCTTATCTAGGATAATTTGATTTTTTATCAAGACATTAGCCTAAGTTATATGGACTAAAATAAAGGATAAAAAACTAAAAATGAAAGAAATAGTCTTAGATCACGAGCATTCCTAAGAATGATATGTAGAATTTCATTAAAAAATTAAATGCGAATAAAGCTATGATCAGAATATGATATTATAACTGTGGGGGTAAACTTAATGCTTTTCTACAATCAATCTTGCTCATAAATCTATTTACACTATGAGAAAATTGAAAAATGGGATCGATTAAGCCTCTAATCATAAAAAGAGCTATTTAAGACCACAAATTAAGTAGTAATCAATCAATATATTAAAATGATAACTTATTTACGCACGGCTGTGACAGAGGGATGTTAATGACCGTTAAGAAGAGCTCAATGTGAGAGAGAAACACACTAAGACTGATTAAGTAAGAAACGGGATTGCCCCAACCTCCAAGGCGGTAAATGCCTTGCCATACTCTAGATTGACTTATCTAAGCTAGGAAAATAGGTTTTTCTTCTGTAATAATTGATTTATCTATAATCAGAGACTCGCCATTGTGGCACATATCAATACCATGTTCCCAGATCAAATTTTGCACACTTTTGACGCGCTAGTACGCAGTTGGAAAATTATACAAGGCTTGACTTATTTGGTACTGTTTGATGTGAAAGTCATGTACAACAATTAAACGAAGCAATAGTAGTGTGGCATTTACACGTACTATTGAAGTTCCACTAAGGCTGCTGATGAGGCGAGAATGAAACCGTAGGCTGCCCTGGAAGAGAACTAGTTTTTTTGGATGGATGGCCCAGTGAAGTTGGATGCAATAACGAGTAATTGCTTCAATTTATAAACATAAATGCATTCAAACCTACGATATCAACCATAAATGATGTTTTTGTTAATCAACTTGATTAAGCATGGATTCTAATCGCACAAAAATCCTGATAACTACCATTTCCCATATTCATATGGGATCGAAGAGTTCGTGAATCCGATTCCACAGCTTGGTGTATTCTAATAAATTCAATGAGAAGGCTTTAGGACGATAAATATTTCTTGAATAAGGACTT